CCGCATTCTGTGAGTTATCTTTTCACTTTCTTCACAGTGTCCTTTGAAGTACAAGTTTTCAATTCTGGTGAAGTTCAATTTATGCATTTTTTTCTTTGGTGGCTTATAATTCTGTTACATTTAAGAAGCCACCGCCCAATTCAAGATCACAAGGATTTATTTATCTGTCTTTTTCTAAGCGTTTAATAGTCTTAGCTGTTACATTTCGGCCCTTGATCACTTTGAGCTGATTTTTTTGTATACGAGGTTGGGGTCCAACTTCCTTCTTTTGCATGCAAATATCCAGTTGTTCTAGTACCATTTGTTGAAAAGACTATTTTTTTTTTTTTTGAGACGGAGTTTCACTCTTGTTACGCAGGCTGGAGTGCAATGGCGTGATCTCGGCTCACCGCAACCTCCGCCTCCCGGGTTCAGGCAATTCTTCTGCCTCAACCTCCTGAGTAGCTGGGATTACAGGCACGCACCACCATGCCCAGCTAATGTTTTGTATTTTTAGTAGAGACGGGGTTTCACCATGTTGACCAGGATGGTCTCGATCTCTTGACCTCGTGATCCACCCGCCTCGGCCTCCCAAAGTGCTGGGATTACAGGCTTGAGCCACCGCGCCTGGCCTGAAAAGGCTATTTTTTCCCCCGTTGAATGGTCTCAGCACTCCTGTTGAAAACCAATTGATGGATGATAAATTTAAGGGTTCATTTCTGGACTCTGAATTCTGTTTCACTGATCTATATGTCTATCCTTATGCCTGTACCACACAATCTTCATTAATGTAAGGCTGTCGTTTTAAAAGTGAGAAGTCAAATCCTCCAACTTTGTTCTTTTTCAAGGCTGTTTGGCTACTATAGGTCTGGTCCCTTGCATTTCTCTATGAATTGTAGGACTCACATGTCAGCTCATGCACGAAGTCAGCCAGGATTTTGATAGTGATCACGTTGAATCTGTAGATCAATTTGGGGAGTATTATCATCTTAACAATATCATCTTCCAACCCATGAAAACAGATCTTCTTTCTTTTCTTTTTTTGAGATGGGGTCTTACTCTGTCACTTAGGCTAGAGTGCAGTGGCTCGATCTTGGCTCATTGCGATCTCTGCCTCCTAGGCTCAAGCGATCCTCCCACCTCAGCCTTGAGAGTAGCTGGACCACAGGTGTGCGCCACCATGCCTGGCTAATTTTTTGTATTTTTGGTAGAGACAAGGTTTCACCCTGTTGCCCTGGCTGGTCTTGAACTCCTGAGCTCAGGCTCTCCCTCCACTTTGGCCTTCCAAAGTGCTGGGATTACAGGCGTGAACCACTGTGTCCAGCCTACAACCGAGTTTTATATAGGGATCTTATGTCCTGTAACCTTGTGAATTTCGTTAGCTCTAACAGTTATTTGTGGATTCCTTAAGTATTTTCCATATACAAGATCAGGACATGTGCAAACGTTTAATTTTGTTTTCTTTCCAATCCGGATGCCCTTTGTATGTTTTCCTGCCTAGTTGTCTTGACTAGACCTCCAGTAGAGTGGTGTAAGCACACATCTTGGTCTTGTTCCTGCATGATGTTTTTAAGATAGATCCGTTTTGTTGCAGGATGTGAATTAATTTTCACAGCTATGTAATATTTAACTATGTGACTATGGTTCAGTCTTCCACTAAGAGACTTAGGTTATCTTAAGCTTTTTGCTCTAATAAATATGAGGCTATGAATATTTTTGTATATTTCCTGGTACACACACACACACACACACACACACACACACAGCACTGCATGGCTAATTTTGAGAAGTCATAGATTCCCTGAGGCTCACTGTGACCATGACTTTTAGATTAAAGCCCCAGTGTAAAAGAACAACTCTCATTTCGGCATGCGTAATGCAGGGAAATGGGATTTGAAATATGGGCATTTTGCTTTCTGCCAGTCAGGAACATGCCTGTTTCCTAAATGTGGGTGCCCCCTGCCTTTGCGTGTAGATCTCAGACTTGCTGCTTTGCTTTCCAGAAGGTTCTCAGCTCCTTTCTTTCAGCCCTCCATAGCGTGTGAAATTTCTCCCATTATTTTTTCTTTTCTGGATTCCAGTTCGCATTTCCCCCCAGCTCATGATTTCTGCTGAATAAGAGAAAAGAGCAATATTTAGGTTCATTTCCTGTTTATTATTAAAGTGATTTTCACAAATGTTTCATTACATGCATATGGGGGACATGATGGATAAAACAAAACTGAATAGTTGTGGCAACTAAAAGGAAGATGTGGTTATGTTGGCATTTGTCATTCTTGCAGGCAGAGTCACTGCCAAGGGCCTGGACAGTATAGCACCCCCGCAGGAGCCAGAAGTGAAGGCTGTGGGCCTCCAGTCCAGCGCCCTGGTGTCCTGTTCCCCGAGCAACGTGGCCTGGGTCTGCTCGGCCTGTTGGAGGCTCTGACCTCAGCGGAACAAGACACCCAACATTGGTCAGCTCCCCCTTCCTCCCTCTTGGCCTGTTGGAGGCTCTGACCTCAGCGGAACAAGACACGCAGCATCGGTCAGCTCCCCCTTCCTCCCTCTGCTTTCTGCCACCTGTCTGCCGAGGGCACCGGGCACTCCCTCACTTGCATCTCTGCGGGCTGTGCTGGGGCCTCCCCAAGAGCAGCGGGACACTCGGCAAGGGCACTTGAGCCTCTGGCTGTGTCTGCTCATGCTGGCACCGTGAGTGTCCTGTCTGCCTGGTAGGGAGGGCAGAAGCTGTCCATTATCCGAACGATTTTTCGTGCCTAAGGAAGGAGGGGATGTCACTGAAGTCACCCTGGCACCCTGGCTGTTCTCTCCCGTCTGCAGCCTTCTCTCTGTCTCTGGAGTCCACCACCCTGGCTACCTGGCCCGGTTTCCAGTGTGTAAGCTTCAGACTGATCAACGTTTTAGAGACGTTTCCTGCCCTGGGAGTAGATGGACATGCACTTGATTCCCAAATCCAGGAACTACGAACTCTTTGCCTTGGGCATGTCCTGCCGTCTCCCGGAGCTCCATTTCCACATCTAAAGAATGAGCTTAACCCCACTGTCCACACAGGTTGGGAGAATGAGATGTGTGGATATCAGAGGGTTGAGCCCAGAGCCTGGCACACAGTGGGCACTGAGTGAGCGTCAGCTTCCCCTCCTTTCCCTTCTTCCCGTTGGGGCTTGGGGCATGCAGACAATTCCAAGGGGCTCACCCAGGGCTGAGTGGTGTGGTGCAGCAGGGGCTGGGAGGGCACGTGGGCCATGGCTGTGCTGTCTGGGCTCCAAGGATGCTTTGCCCACACCTGATGTCCTTTCTAAGAGCAAGGCAGGTGGGATCAGGCCAACTCCAGCTCTGCCTGCCCAGGACTTACTCCTGGAAGGGCCAGGGATCCACGGGAGAATGGGAGCTCCCTGCTCCCTCTCCGCGTCCTCCCTCCATCCCTCATCACATCCTCTGCGCTTGGCCTGAATGATGTCAGCTCGGCACAGACACCTGTGCATCTTTGGTGAAGAAAAGGGACCTCAATGTCAGGTGCAGTTTGCCAGGGCGACCAGATTTCCTGAGTATGGACCAGGGAAGGTGACAATGGCTGGACTCCCTGGGTGAGAAGGAGGGCTTCTCCCTGCGGGGCACACCTTGTGCAGGCGAGGTGAGCAGGCTGTCTAGGGCAGCGTGTCTGCTGTCCGGGGCAGTTTGTCGTCTGTGCAGGGCACTGGCTCCCTGTCTTTCTAGGAGCCTGGCACACAGGAGGTGCTCGCTAAATGACTCAGCTTATTTCAGTGTCTTATTTTACTGCTGGGGGTGGTGGAGGCGCTGGAATAAGATTCAACTCCAAAAATGTAAATTGAGCATTGCTATGGCTTGGACAGGCCAGGGGCCTCCTGCTGTGGACAAGCCCAGGGGACAGCCTTCACCGAGAGGCTGGCTGCGGCCCGTGCGTCTGTTGAGCGTGCATGAAAGGGAGGCCATTCAGACAGAAAAGCACGCTAGCCAGAGGCGGGGAAAAGGGCTTCTCTCCCAGGGCTTTCAAATGTGGCCTCTTGTGCCCTCCTTGTCTGGGGATGTCTTGGCCCATGTTTCCGCTCCACTTTATCTGTGTATCTGTCCCAAGCCAATGGGTAGCCAGACAGAAAGCTGCCTGAGGCCTCCACCATGGGCCCTGCCACCTGGGCCACCATGGAGGTGGAGGAGTGGGCCACACTGTCCCCTGGGGAGTGAGCATTTGGGAAACTGGTCACCGCCTGGCCAGGATGACCTGTGTGGGGCAGGGGCAGCAAGGCTGGGGAGCAAAGGCTGATTCTGCTGCCTGAGAGGCCAGTGGAGAGCCAGAGCGGGAGGAGGGAGGTTGGCGCGATGGTGAGGCTGTGGCAAGGGGAAGGACTGGGAAAGGGCAGTCCCATTCTGGGCAGCGGGTGAGGCTGCCTGGCTGTCGGCTGCCCTCAGCGGCTATGGGAGCCCTCACTCACAGAGCGCCTGGCTGGCCTCGAAACCCTGCTGCAGGTTACTTCCGTTTCTGTGGTTCCTGGAAAGTAGAAACAAACTTGGGGGGATGCCAGGAATGTGGGACAGAAAGATCCTCCCACGCCTGGGTCCCACCTGACTCCTGGGAGCTGTGCGGGAGACACCCTGTTTTTTGTGCCCGTCTTCACAGAGGGCCTCTGGTTCCCTGGAGTGCAATGTTTCACTAGGAGCTGACCCAAGCTCAGAGAAGCCTGGAGACCGGACAGCTGCCTCTGTCCCGGCCAGATGGTGGAGTGGGGACTTCCAGCAGCCTGCCCCTTGCTCCTCTCCCTAGAGCACAGCGTGCAGCACTGGGGACCGTGTCAGCTGCTCAGGCCACAGTTGAGGAGGGGCGGTGCCGGCTTCCCCCCAGAGAGCATGGGGTCTCCCGCACGCTCTGCCCTCAGCTTGAGTCTGTTTTTGGGCCTTGTCATGTGGATCCGTCCTACCTGGCCCCGTCCTTGTTCCCTACTTCCCTTTTCTCTATGCCTCCGCCTTGGACCAGGTGGAGCGGCCACCTCACATCAGTCAAGCTGCCGTTGGCTTTGACGGCACGCCAACTGGAAGAAATGCGTTTTGCTGTCCATGGAGCTCTCCTTGGGACCATCCTGCTCTGTCGGCTCTAGTTGAACGGGGGGACCCCCACGTTCCCCAGCGTGGGGCCAATGTGGAGACTCAAGACAGTGTCCAGGTCTGGACTTCAAGTCACCCAGATGGTGTGGGAGGCCCAGAGGGGCTGTAGGTGCCCTCACACTCCCCATGGGCTCTCACGGCTGGGAGCTACAGCACGGCTTGCGAGGGAGAGCAGGACGAAGGCTGGGCCGCATCTGCATCTGCCCATCCAACTCTGCCCCGGGCATGCTGGGCAGGATCTGACCACGGTGGTGCGTCGTGGCACATGAGGGGAGGGGCGGTGGGCAGTGGATCTGTGGGTGTGTGGGTGGCAACTTTCAGAAACTACCCAAAGGAATTGCAGAAAGAGCTCAGAGAGGTGAAGAGTTCTTTCTGTTTTTGGAAAGGATTTAAAAACCCTTAAGTGTGATGGTTGATTTCATGGTGGTCTTGGCTAGGTGAAGGGAGACCCAGCTAGCTGGGAAAATGTGAGAGCGTTTCCAGAGAGGTTAGCATCTGAGGGAAGACATCACTCCATCCAGTCTGTTGAGGGCCCAGATAGGACAGAAGGTGGAGGAAGGGAGAATCCTCTCTCTTGGAGCTGGGACAGCCATCATCCTGATTCTCGGGGCGCTGGATGCTGGGACTCACAGGGTGGCCCCTGGCTTCTCAGGCTTTGAACTCAGACTGAGTTAGGGTGTGGCTTCTGGGCTCCAGCTGGCAGATGGCAGATCGTGGAACTTCTTGGCCTCTAGAAATCCGTGAGTCGGTTCCTGTAATGCAGCCCCTCACACATCTACATCTGTGTCTTCTGGGTTCTGTTTCTTTGGAGAACACTCATGAAGAGGTGACACCCCTCCTGGCATCTCCTCAGGAGCTGTTGCTCAGGCTCATTCAGAAGGACGCTCCTCTCTCATCTTGGGGATGACTGATGGCTTGACAAAGGGAGGGAGGGAGGCCTCTTTCCAGAAACCAGGGCTGGCCTGCGAGGACTGTGACCAGAGGAGGGGCAGTGTGGCCCCCGGCATGGCTCGTTAGTGGACACTGACCTACCCACCAAGTGCAGAGGCTGCACTCTCTCCGGCTTGAGTTGGACTTCGGCAGGGAAGGCGGCTGATGGCGGCAGCAGCCAGGCTGGGGACCGCGCTGTTGTGGGCACACATGAGTAATTCCTGAGCTCCGAGCTCTCGTTCGGGCTGTAGAACATGTGATGACCTGCCTCCCTCGTCACCAAGCCTAGAGGGACCTCGCTTGCCTGCCTCCATCTGTGCAGTGCTCCGTGTGCCACCGTCCCTCAAACTGTGCTCGGTTCTCGGCAGCCAGGCTGGGCCTGGGGGCGACCAGGAGGAACCCGAGAGGCAACTTTGAGCTGAAGACTGGAGTTTGTTTTAAGATTCTCCCATGCTACTTGGGATTTTCAGTATTTCTTAACTTGAAAAATACAGGCCATTTCCCATGCTTGTCCAGAGCCCACAGGCAAATGATGAGCAGGCAAGGCCTCTGGACCTCAGAGTTCTGCGGGCTCCATCCCAGGCGCTGGCCTCCGGCTGGGTGGAACACAGACACCCGGTCACAGCCCAGACTTCTCTTTCTCCTGGCATTCCCCCTGCCCCGCCACCTTGTGAAGAGGTTCTCGCTTCCCCTTCATCCTCTACCATGATTGCAAGTTTCCTGAAGCCTCCCCAGCCACGTGGAACTGGGAGTCAATTAGGCCTCTTTCCTCGACATGAAAGGAAAGAGGTTTCCCTCCGAGTGGGGACAGCATGGTATAGCGAGAGGAGGCTGTGCTGGGAGCCAGGCCTCTGACTCCGACAGTCAGCTCCACTCTCTCCCCCCTCACTGGGTGCTCTGAGGCCCCTCGTGGTAGCACAGCCTGTGCTCCTGTGAGCAAGGCCTTGCTTCCTGGTGACGCGTGGGCACAGTACGGACCCCAAGATCACTGCCACAGGGTCAGAGCCAAGGCCCCTTCTGCGGTTTATTGCTGGGCCCCTGCACCTCCTAGGAACGGGTCCAAGGGGAAAGCGTCTTCCACTGAGTCTCGTCCGAGGGCAGTGACGGTGCTGGCAAGGGGCCTGGGGCTGGGCTGACACTGCAGCAGAACCTCCAAGCCCAGTTCTCGAAGAATTCCTGTTCTGAAGCAAGTCCAAGGCAAGCTGTGCTCCCCCAGCCCTAGCGGTTCCCAGCCTCACAGAGACAAAGGGCAAAGGCTGGGAGGAGTTGTTTAATCATCCAGGGAGGCTTAGAGCTGCTGGGACTCACTGGGCTCATGCGGGAAGGGATGAGGTCACGATTCATGTTTACAGTGACCAAAGAGCATTTTCCTAAAGTACCCACAAATAGAAGTATATATATATATTTTATATTTATATTTATATATACAGAGAGAGTACTTCATTAAATGTTCTGTCGAAGGAAAGCAGAAACCTACAGTCTCCTCCCCTAGCAGCTCTGTTCCGCCCCATCACAGAATCCTGGGAGCCCAACAGCCTGGAGCGGTGGCCTTGCCTGTGGTTGGAGGAGTTGGCAGAGCGTGGGGCCCGAGAATGCTGGCACGGGCTCGTCCACCTCCCCCGATGGCGCCTTGGCCCCTCTCCCTCCACCGGGCCTCCTGTCTCGGATGACCACACCTTCCGGATCCTGAAACGCCAGGCGGAGGGTCCCGCAATCCTGCTACTTGCAGTTGGTCCGCCAGGACTCAGGAGAGGGCGCTCTTGGTGTCCTAGGAAGGAGGCGGAGGGAGGGAGGGAGGCTTCCTGAAGCAGGGTGCTCCCACTGGGGTGGTGGGTCCGAAGGGTACCTGGGCTCGGTCTCCACGGGCTGGTCGGCTTCCCTGAAGGGGAGTGCCATGGGGTTCCCAAGGCGATGTGGAGGCCTGTGCAGCTCCCGATGTGGAGGGCAGGTGCCCCCTCCATGGACCAGGCCAGCCCCAGGCAGGGCCACTCCCCCCCGGTTATTTGTAGGGCCGAAGGAACCGAGACACTTTGGAGCGCAGCAGTTTGATGAAGGACCGTGGGAACATCTCCTTGGACTCCTGGGCTGTGTACTTGAAGTAGTTCTGGGGATGGGCCAGCACGTCAAACAGGGCCTTGATCAGCTTCTTGTCCTGCAAGATAGAGTGGGCGGGAGAGGCAGGGGAGGCTTGCGCCCGCAGGGTCTTCAGGGCGTTGCCAGGCTGAGTGAGTTGGGCTGGCTGGTAGGTTTCAGGACCCCACAGAGCTTCTTTTGGTTTTTTTTTTTTTTTTTGGACGGAGTTTCGCTCTTGTTACCCAGGCTGGAGTGCAATGGCGCGATCTCGGCTCACCGCAACCTCCGCCTCCTGGGTTCAGGCAATTCTCCTGCCTCAGCCTCCTGAGTAGCTGGGATTACAGGCACGCGCCACCATGCCCAGCTAATTTTTTTTTTGTATTTTTAGTAGAGACGGGGTTTCACCATGTTGACCAGGATGGTCTCGATCTTTTGACCTCGTGATCCACCCACCTCGGCCTCCCAAAGTGCTGGGATCACAGGCTTGAGCCACCGCGCCCGGCCTCTTTTGGTTTTAATAGTGTAACTGGTTTTTATTTCTTTCTTTATTTATTTTTTGAGGCAGAATCTTGCTGTGTCACCCAGCTGGAGTGCAGTGGGCTGGAGTGGATCTCAGGTCACAAGACTCCGCCGCCTCCTGAGTTCAAGCAATTCTCCTGCTTCAGCCTTCCGAGTAGCTGGGACTGCAGGCACATGCCACCACACCTGGCTAAGTTTTATCTTTTCAGTAGAGACAGGGTTTCACCATGTTGGCCAGGCTGGTCTCAAACTCCTGACCTCAAGTGATCTACCTGCCTCGGCCTCCCAAAGTGCTGGGATTACAGGCGTGAGCCACCACACTCAGCCCATAACTGGTTTTTTTTTTTTTTTTTTTTGAGACGGAGTTTCACTTATATTACCCAGGCTGGAGTGCAATGGCACGATCTCGGCTCACTGCAACCTCCGCCTCCTGGGTTCAGGCAATTCTCCTGCCTCAGCCTCCTGAGTAGCTGGGACTACAGGCACGCGCCACCATGCCCAGCTAATTTTTTGTATTTTTAGTAGAGACGGGGTTTCACCATGTTGACCAGGATGGTCTCGATCTCTTGACCTCGTGATCCACCCGCCTCGGCCTCCCAAAGTGCTGGGATTACAGGCTTGAGCCACCGCGCCCGGCCATAACTGGTTTTTAAATAGACCATTGGCATTAACTCTTGGGATTCCAATAAGATTTTATTAAATGTCAGGTACAGTGGCTCATGCCTGTAATCCCAGCACTTTGGAAGCCGAGGCGGGCAGATTACCTGAGGTCAGGAGTTTGAGACCAGCCTGACCAACATGGTGAAACCCCATCTCTACTAAAAATACAAAAATTAGCCACGTGTGGTGGCAGATGCCTTGCAATCCCAGCTACTTGGGAGGCTGAGGTCAGAGAGTCGCTTGAAACCGGGAGGTGGAAGTTGCAGTGAGCCGAGAGTGCGCCACTGCATTCTAGCCTGGGCGACAGAGTGAGACTCCTTCTCAAAAAAGAAAAAAAAAAAAGATTTTATTAACAAAGGGTTCCAAAACAACACAACCAACATTTGCAAACAGAACACTCAGCCAAGAGCACAGGCTTTGTAGCCAGCAGATCCCAAATCATCACTTCAGGCCTGCTCGCTGGCCCCTGAACCTTGGGGACACCACTCTGTGCTCTGCATTTCATTCTTCCCTGCACAGAGAGGTCATGATGCCTCTTCCCGGGGCTGCGAGGAACATGACCTGTACTGGCGTGAGCAGAGAGCCTGTCCTCAGCGGTACAGGTTTGCCGCGGGGATCCAGGCAGCAAACGGGGGACTGTTTTCCCGAAGCGGCCTCTGGAGAGCAGATGCAGACCCTGCCCTCTCTGAGCCCGTGTCTCGTCTCTCTAGTGGGGCACTGGCTGCCACGCTGGGCAGAAACTACAGAGCAGAGGTAAGAAGTCTGGTGGAGGCCTGGTTCCTGACGGAGTCCCCAGAGCCTGGCCCAGGGAAGCTGCTCAGTAAATGGCGACTTACCACCACTGGGGCATGAGGGCACCTTGTCCTGGTAACTGTGGCTGCATTCGCTGTCTCTGGGGCGGACCTGTCCTGGCACACACACTTCTCTGTGTACACACCCACCACACCCCACACACATCTAGCACACCTCCACGTACCCCCCATATATACACCACACCCACTCACCACACACTCACCCCTACACACACACCCACCACACCCCCATACACACACCATACACCCACTCACCACACACTCACCCCTACACACACCCCCACCACACCCCCATACATACACCATGCACCCACTCACCACACACTCACCCCTACACACCCCCATACATACACCATGCACCCACTCACCACTCACCCCTATACACACCCCCACCACACCCCCATACATACACCATATACCCACTCACCACACACTCACCCCTACACACACACCCACCACACTTCCACTCACCACACACACCTACACACACCACACCCCCTCAGCACACCCCACTCACTGCACATTCACCCCTACACACACCACATACTCCCACACACCACACCCCGCACACCCCACACCCAGTCAAAACACACTAAACACCCCCCACACACCCCTACATGCATATCTCTATATACACACTACACAGCCCTACAAACACACCACACAGCCCTACAAACACACCACACAGCACAGACACACTTAACACCTGCAAACTTACCACACCCCCACAAATACACCACAGTCAACCCAATCCCCACATTCCCCACACACGTGTGCCCTGAGCCCATGCCCTGGAGACAGGCACTCCTGCCCTCCTCTGTGCTGGGCACGGTGCCAGTCCTGGAGGCAGAGTTGACCATGAACCCCGGCAGCTCCTCCCTGCCAAGCGGGGCAGGGACTAAATATTCACACGACAAACCTAAAGTGGGTACTGGTGGGTGTCAGGAAGGAGGGGTACCGGGACCCAAGGGTCTGCAAAGGATGTGCCCAGGTCAGGGAGATCCAGGCAGACCCCACAGAGGATGACAGGATGTCCCAGGTGAAGGCAGAAGGATGAAGGGGGACGTTCGCTGGGGAAAGATTTGGGGAAGCACGTCCCGAGAGGCCCCGGTGAGCGTGAGGAGCTGAGAACTGCTACGGAGGAGGTTTGTGTCCCCAGAGCAGCCTCAGACGCTGCTGCTCCGTTTGGCAGCGCTGCTCCCAGGGTGGAGCTAGGGGAACAGGGATGGGGAGGAGGGCAAGTCCCAGTGCGTCCCTGGTTTCTGCCTGCAAGGTCTGGGGAGGAAACAGGGAGCCGAGTGCGGCAGCGCGTGACCGGCAGACTATGGGGGGCTCCAGTGAACCTTCCAGAGCCTGCAAACCATCCCCAGCTCTGTCCTTGTCCTCCACACCCAGGGCTCCTGGACTGATAGTGCTGCTGCCCAGGGCTGAGCTGGGTGGGTCTCTGGGCCTCTGGCCAGTGCCCATCATGTGACATACCAGGTGGCCCTGCCTCTCCAGGCCAGAAGCAGGAAGAGGAGGGGGCCCGGTCCCAGAAGCAGGGGGGGCTCCAAGTGACAGCGGCACTGGGTAGATCCTACTGGTTCTGAGACAGCACCCCCAGACACCCTCCCTCTACAGATGAGGAGAGTGAGGCTGAGAGCTGGCGAGGAGCCTGCCTGAGGTCACATCACTGGGTCCTGGTCCCCACATCCCCACCAAACAGCTTCCCTCAGGCCTCCTGGTCTGGAGGGACAGACATGCAGGACCCAGCCCCTGCCCTTAGGGCTCTGGGACCCCCAGGCCTCCTGTTCCTCCCCCATCACCATCCATACTCCCTTGCTTCTCCAGGGGCCAGGGCTGAGGCAGGGGCGGCCCTGGCTCATCACAGGCCCCATCCCAAGGTTACAACAATTCTCTTCCAATAAACTCACTTACTTTCAAAATCTCCTGGTGGTTCTCCGAGGCGTATAGGCGCCCATCGCGCACGATGTCCTCTATGAGCTGCTGGTAGTCCTCTGGCAGCAGGTCAGCCGGGGGAGAGGAAGACGAGGGGCTTGAGACCCCGCCAGCTCCCCTTTCACCTCCAGCCTCTGCCCTCCTCCCCTGCTCCAGCCACAGGCTCCCAGCTATGGCGGGACGCTGCTCTGCCTCTGTGCCTTTCGGCGGGGGCTCCGTCTAACTGTATTGTCCTCCTTGGAGTTTTGCTAAGAATCCCCCAATTTTTTTTTTCTTTTTTGAGTCAGAGTCTCACTCTGCTGTCCAGGCTGGAGTGCAGTGGCATGATCTCGGCTCACTGCTACATTTGTGTTTCGGGCTCAACAGATTCTCCTGCCTCAGCCTCCTGAGTAGCTGGGATTACAGGCGCCCACCACCATGCCTGGATAATTTTTGTATTTTTAGTAGAGATGGGGTTTCACAGTGTTGGCCAGGCTGGTCTTCAACTCCCGACCTCAGGTGATCCACCTACCTTGGCCTCACAAATGCTGGAATTACAGGCATGAGCCACTGTGCCCAGCCAAGAACCCCAAATTTAGCCTTCAAAACCCTGCTTGGGCGGCACCTCACCCGAAGCCTGCAGATGCCACTAGCCGCTGCCTTGCTGGTACCACCCAGTACCACCCTTGGCCTGTCTGGCTCTGGCCCCTGAGAGTGTTCGTTCTGCTTCTGGGTCTGTGCCTGCCGGGTCACAGCTCGCCGAGGGTGGGAACGTGTGACTCATCTCTGTGTCTCCCTGGCCCCTCTGAGCTATGCACAGTGGGCCGTGAAGACAGTTGGGGCCTTACCATCGTAGGTCACGTAGGGCACTTGGAAGCCTTTGCCACTGTTGCCTTCATTGGATTTGAACTGGATCCAGAGCTTCCGGGAGCGGGAGGTGAAGGCGATGGGCCTCTCATAGGTCTGGCAGGTCTCGTAGGTGGTGACGGACGTGGGCGAGGCTGTGGGCGAAGCACCACTGCTGAGGTGCCGCGGGTGTACAGCACCTCCCACCCAGTCCGCCACCCAGCACCTGCACCGAACGCCTGGTCCCCCAAACAAGAGCTTAGTCTTCATGCTTGTTCCCTCTGCCTCTGAGGCCCTTCCCTGCCCTCAACCCTGGTTCCTACTTGTCCTTCTGAGACCCATCTCTCTGCCCCCTCTTACAGGATGCCTCCCTGACTGCTCCCTTCCTCCCCTCCCAAGATCTTGCTCTGCTCTGGGGAACCCCTTATCACAGGCCCCTTTATCGGGGGTCTCCGTCTCCCTCTAGCTAACTGCTCCTCTCTGACAGGGCTCAGGCCTGCACTCAGCGCACGGCGCATGGAGTGGAAGCTGGGGGAGGGCGTGGGAGATGAATCGGCACAGACTCGGGAAGTCCCTTCTCCCTGAGAGCAAATGCGTCAACGCAGCCCCCCAAGCCCTGATCTCCTGAGGAGGAAATCAGGAGCCAAGGGCAGCAGTGTGGGCACAGCACATGACTGGCAAGTGACTCTTCCCAAACTGCAAACCATCCTTTTCTCAGACATGGTGACAGCGGGAGCCCCCAGCCCTGCCCAGCCTCTCCCGGCTCAGGGGCTCTTTGGGAAGGACTCACAGCTCCTTGGGGACATTCCCAAGGAGCCCCTCATGGGGGAGAGGCTGGGCTTCGCTTGAGCTCAGCCTTGTGGTGGGGGACAGAGGGAGGGGGATGCTGGAGGCAGGGGAGGGGGTAAGGGGAACGGGCAGGGAAGGTGATCCCGGGCCGGTCCCTTGGCCATCTGCACACTGCAGGTTTCGGCTGGTCAGCTGCATCAGCCATGCCGACATCTGCTCGTCAGTATGCTGAGCAACTCCTGCACAGGATATCGCAGCTCCAGCCGGGCAGCCCTGAGCAGACCTCAGGCCCCTCCCACCCCACCCCCCGGGCTGGTCTCTGTGGCTGCCTCATACCCAGAGATGTTCTAGGCCGTGTTTGTGGGCATCTGGGTTCCTGCTCTTCCTCCCCTAACACTCCAGCACAGAGCTTGCTCCCATGGGCACCCACAGCCTGATAGCAGTGAGGTCCCCTGGCCAGGTACGCTTCGGGGATTTGCCTGGCGTTGGGGGGCACTCAGGGGCCTCCCAGGCAATTCCTGCTGCTGTGGCCAACTGGGCACACACTCGGCCCCACCCACTGCTGAGTCCAATCCTCTCTCCTACTATTCCAGCTTTGCTGCCTGATGTCTCAAAAGAGGCCCTGACGGGGGCTGATGAGCCAGGAGTCTGGGGCTCACAGAGGGGTGGGGATGGGCGCTCTGAGTTGGTACCTTGTGTGGTGCATAGGATGGCCCTGTGGTCTCCCAAACCTCAGCGGGCGGGAGGAGGCCTGTGGAGCTGGAGCCTGAGGTCTTGCCTTGAGAGGTGTGACAGAAAATGGCGGGAAGGGGCCCTGTGGTTGGTCCTGCCACTGGGATGAGGCCCTGGTTTGCGGCCAGAGTTGAGACCAGGCCTGACCACGTCCCCGCATCTACTCTCAGGGGATACCCTAAACTCTCCGGATCTTTCCACGGAACTCTGTAAAGCCAGCTCTTAAGCCCAATGGGTTTCAACCCTGCCTCCCAGGTGGACTCTGAGGGGCTGGTCCCCTCTGAGCCCTGGGGCCCTCCTCTCTGCCCACGAAGGCAGCGATCCCGCCTGGTGGAGCTGCACCGAGACGGGGCTGCAGGAGTGGCTGCAGCTGCCTCTGGGCCCCCCGCCCACATACCGTTCTTCCTCATGACCAGAACATCACCACACTCATCCTCGATGGGCAGGAAGATCTCGGGGACCACGATGAGGATCCTGCGCTTCGGGGGCGGCGCGATGTGCCAGACGCATTCTGCGTTGGCCGGGTAGTCTCCAGGGTAGTTGGGGGACTCAATGTAGCCTGTGTAGTCACCAAGCTCGCCACCACAGTGCTGGTCTGTGGGCACAGCGGCCCGTGGGCCTCATCAGGCTCTGCTGGGCAGGTGCCCTGGCCAGCCAGGTCTCTAAAAGCCAGGGAGGCCCAGGGCGGGCTGGCAGGTGCTCTTGTTCCCTGCTCCACCAGCCCTCGGGCCCTCAGCCATCCTCCTTGGGGACCCTGCCTGGGCTTCCCCCAGAGTAGGCGGGCAGGCCACTGTTCACGCTTGCGGTTCCCCGAGGCCCAGCCCGGGGTCTCCTTCTTACTGGGCTGCCTTGCTGCAGGGCCACCTGATTTCTCTGTGGCTGGGCCTTGTCAGGGGCCCTGAGAGAGCCCAGAGCCCTGCCCTCTCTGGTGGCCCCGTCAGTGCCCCTCTAGGCTGTCAGTTCCCCCAGCAGACCCAGAAACTAGAGCGGGGCCTGGCCCGGGGCAGAGGCTTGGGCTGTGTTGGGTGGAGTGGGAACTGATGAATGAGGGGCACCACTGTGTGGCTACACAGACAGGGCCAAGCCAGGGCTGTCCCTTTGGTGCCACAGGCCTCCAGACCCATGCAGGGTGCCCCGGAGCAGACGTGACGGGGCAGGAGGAGTCAAGTGTCCTCATGGACCTCGTGTGGGATCAGGTCTCCTCCCGCCCCCCAACCTGCCCAGCCCCTCCCGCGTTCCCAGCTTCCCGCTGCGGAGCAGCAGCACCCACTTTTGCAGTGTGTGACGTTGGTGGAGCCATCGAAGTCCGTGCTGGTGTTGCCTGGACAGGTGATGCAGTGGTTCTGGCCAAACTCTGGCTGGTAGGTGCCAACCGGGCAGCGGACGCAGCGGTGGGTGGTGGTGTTGTAGTGGTGGCCGGGGGAGCAGTGCACTGCCGGGGGACACAGTGGGGTGTGGTGGGTGTGGAGGGGTGCAGGGAAAGGCCAGAGCTGGGGAGCTCTGTCCCCAGGACCTCCCATGCCCTTGAGGTCTGTCTTGGCACAGAGTTTAAGGCTCTTCCCACTGCCCATGACATCCCACCACCCTTGCTCCACCACAGCCAGGAAGAGCCCATGGCGTGGGGGTCACACGGCTGATGGATGTGATGTTGGCTACAGCCACACTAGGACCACACAGGCCACCTTGATGGGAGCAGTTTTTAGGGAGAGCAGGGGCGATGATGTGGCCAGAGTTGCTCAGGGGAGGTGGGAAGGAGGGGAAGTGGGCCGGCCAGGCTGAACCCTCTTCCTACAAGGTTGCTGGGGAAGGACAGAGAGTCTGAAGAGTGGCGGGGTGGGGGGCTAGAGGTGGGCATTTTTTTTTTTTTTTTTGAGATAGAGCCTTTCTCTGCCGCCCAGGCTGGAGTGCAGTGGTGTCATCTCGGCTCACTGCAACTTCCACCTACCGGGTTCAAGCGATTCGCCTGCCTCAGCCTCCCGAGTAGCCGGGATTACAGGTGCGCACCACCATGCCTGGGCATTCTGTATTTTTTGTATATGTTTTAGGAGAGATGGGGTTTTGCCATGTTGGCCAGGCTGGCCTCGAATTCCTGACCTCAGGTGATCTACCCGCTTCGGCCTCCCAAAGCGCTGGGATTATAGGCGTGAGCCACCATGCCTAGCTTCAATTCTTTTCTTAAACGGGCACATTTGGAGCGGTTTGTTTGTGCAGGGGGAGTATCTGGTGATGTGACTCCAGGGGACTGAGAACCAGGCCACCCAAACAGATGAACAGATGCTGAGAGGGAGCGTGGTGGGGAAGCAGGGTCAGCAGCTGAGAGTGGGGAGGACTTGGGGGAGTTGGTGAGTGAGGAAAGTGGGGACGCAGACCTGGGTGGGACCAGGTGCCCTGAACGGACAGCAGTTGAGGTGGTGCCCTGATCCCGCTCCTGCCCCCACACTCCTGCCCCTCCTCACCCTTGCAGCCTCCCTTCTAGACCCTGTCCAAGGTCTCCTGTCCCTACAGCACTCCCCAGTGCCCCAGGGAGCTGCTGCTTCCCCCTTGGAGCTCAGAAAGCTCTCAGCTATAAGGCATCCCTGTCCTAATGCAGGGCACAGTAGGTCACCCACACCCACGCCTGACAGCTCCAGGCTCCTCCTCTGAGTTGGGCGGTTTGCTACCTGCAGGAGATGAGAGGGGCTTGGGGAAGCCTCCCAAGCAGCACAGCCCTGCCCCTTGGGGTGGGCAGGCAGCGGGGGGCATGCTCACCTTTAGCCTCACAGTCCTGGAAGGAGGTAGTGCCTTCGTGCTTGGTAAGCAAATCCCCTCCGCAGGGGAAGCAGCCGGTGCGCCCGGGCTCGGGCTGGTATGTGCCCATGGGGCAGGCCTGGCAGGGCTTGAAGCCATCGGCCGAGAAGAACCCTGGAGGGCACTGGCCTGGAAGTCAGAGGTCATGGCTCAGGTGGGCAGGAGGGTGACTCAGGGCTGAGGCTGTGGGTGATCTTGGGCCCTGCTCCTGGCCTTGCCTGGTCCTAGAAAAGGCACCGAGCACCCAAGGTCTAGGGTGGGGACGGGGTGGGGAGAACGCAGCAGCCCGGGTGCAGGAGGCGGGGCTCCTGGTCTGGATGCTGCTGGCAGTTCCTGTGCCGCCTTGATCAAGCCTGGCTTTCCTTCTCCCAGCAGCAAGAAGGCCTAGGGGTTGACCAGTAAGAGGCCTTGCTGGGGAGCTGGGAAGGGGACTCCCGGGTGGAGGGGGAGGGGCTCTCCCAGGGGGCAGAGTTAAGTGGGGAGAGGGAAAAAAATGGAAAAGCTCCTTGCAAGCCTGATTATGTTTGGTAAATTGAAAAAGGGCCTTCTAAACCATCGATGGGGCACATCATAAAGTTCTTTGTGTAGAGCAAGTTTCTTGCCCAAGTATAAGATACACTCTGCAAAGTGCTGCGGTCATAATGGAATGTGCTGTCAACTGTAAGCTGTCTAGTCCACCGGAAGGCACTTCTGCACCTCCCTTAGAAAGCGTGCGTTGATTTGTAAATGCTGAAGTGCCGGCATGCTGTGAAGTCCCTTCCAAAGTGCACAATGCAATTCTGCAGGTACATGGAGGGCAGTGTAGGCCTGGGGACTGCAGGGCATTCCGAGATGCTCTGACGCTTTGGGGTCTGCAACGCACTTTGTAAGTGGTGACTGCACAGACATCGTGAACGGCTTTGGAAAGGACAAAGCACTTTGGAAAAGACCATGCTGTCTGGCCACAGCAGGCATTCAGGCCTTTGCTTTAGGAACCTCATCAGACAGGAGGAGCCACAGTCTGCTCCCCGCCCCACCCCGCCCCTCACTCTGGGGTGGGTCCACACTCGCCTCCGCATTCCGCCACGTTGCGGGCACCAGCCAGACTAAGCCCGTCGCTGCTGGGGCACGGTGTGCAACTGAGCTGGCCTTCTCTGTCCTGGTATGTCCCTGGCACACATGGCACACACTGGCCGAGCTCACCGCTGAAGTGGGTGCCAGGCCCGCAGGCAACTGCAGAGGAAAGCGGAGAGGCTGCTGGAGGCAGAGGCGGGAGGCCGGGTGGTCTCCTGTGTGCTCAAGCCCAGGCTCTCTTTACAGGCACAGTCCTTGTTCCCTGGGGCTCCCTGACACATCCCAGAAGAGCCTGGGGCAGGACCCAGGGGGCAGCCATCTGTGAGGGCCACAAAGCCTGGCCCCCAGGCTGCTGCACCTCAGAGTCCTCTGCAGACCCCCCCATCTCCACCCCCTTGTAAAAGCCCGTGGGCCTCACTCCTCCCACCCCGTCCTCTCTCTGCTCCACACCCTGCCCTCTGGCTTTAGCAGACTCCCTCCTGGATGTCGCCGCTTGGACATTCTACAGTCGTTTCATACCAAAGCAAGCTCCCTTGTCCTTCCGGAGTGGAGGAGTCGGGCCCTGAAGACGTGGGGCGGTGCGGAGGGACTGGGGCTGAGAAAGGCGTGGGCCGGTGGGGGAGGTGTGAGGGGCACAGCCAGGAGAGGGTGGGCTGAGGACAGCGCAGTGTGGTTGGCTACACTGAACAAATATGTCAGTCAGGAAACTGAGTAAATATGTGAATTAAGGAGAAAGGGAGCCGCGTTGCTCAGTGCTGAGGAAGAGGCTGAGATGGCGGCGGGGGAGGTGCGTAGAAGGGGGCCTGAGGTGTGGAACGGGAGGCATCGGCATGAACTCCTGGTTCTAGAACACCCCGTAGATTCCCACGCCTACCCGTGCATGTGCAGACACCTCTGCTTTCCACTTCTGTCCGATGAGAGGGCCTAGAGGCAGTGGTGCTCCGGGAGCAAGGAATAGCCCAGACTTTGGTTCCTACCCATCATCCTCCTCTCAAAGGAACCCGGGTCCTTGGGGGTCTGGCTGATGCCAGGGGAGGGACAGTGTGAATTGGATCTGAAGGAGGGGAGGCTCACAGTGTGTGTGTGTCAGGAGGACCCAAGAGCCAGCTTGGTGGAGTGCCTCTGGCTACCCTAGGGACAGAGTGAGCGCCAAACTACATAACATCAGGAACGATCACAACGCAATGAGTAAGGGGAATCCGAGTCCACAGGGACACAGACCCAGAGGTAATGGCCATGGCCGCCTGGTTTCCTGCAGGAGAACGTGACTTGTGAACGTGGAAGGAATGGCAGAGGTGCTGACATGGCAGGAGCTGTGCAGAAGTTTGATGAGGAGAGAATACTGGTCTAACCTCAGAATATGTCCTCAGAAAACACTCATCAGCCACAGAGGGAAAACAGCAAGTAAAAGTGAAGTCAGCGGGCTGGGGAACCCTGCTGTGGGTGGGCTGGGGAACCCTGCGGTGGGCTGGGGTATCCTGCGGTGGGC